CAACTTAGCACGCCTGCAATGAACTCAAAATAAATTAGATAAGAAACAGATATTCCATATCAAAATAAGTAATACCTATCTCTTATCTAATTTATTTTTAGTTCATTTGTACTAATTAATTTACAATTAAACTAATACCTTAACTTGGTTTCTATAAAAAGAAATTTCAAAAGATTCAAAGAAATAACTACAGTTATTTCATTTAATTTCAGAAGGGAGAAAGAAGGTCTGGCCTCTTAAAAATTAGGTAGTGGTAGAAGCAGGTTATGGAGAAGGCAATGGCAACCCACTCCAATACTCTTGCCTGGAAAATCCCATGGATGGAGGAGCCTGGTGGGCTGCAGTCCATGGGATCGCTGAGTCAGACAAGACTGAGCAACTTCACTTTCACTTTTCACTTTCATGCATTAGAGAAGGAAATGGCAACCCACTCCGGTGTTATTGCCTGGAGAATCCCAGGGATGGCGGAGCCTGGTAGGCTGCTGTCTATGGGGTCGCACAGAGTCGGACATGACTGACGCGACTTAGCAGCAGCAGCAGAAGCAAGTTATGAAAAAATTACCCAGGTCCAGGCAGCAGGCGGGAAGGCTGGCTGGCTTGCAGATAAGACACATGTTAACCTGCAGGTTCTGGAAGGTCAGGGTAAGGGTGGACACAGTAGCTTATTCCTTTCTGTACCTCCTGTGGTACTGAGCTCAGTGCCCCATACATACAAGCCAATACACATTTCCCAGAATATAGAACCTTTGACTCTGTGAAAATGGGGTTGTTCCTATAAAGAACACATTCCTGGGATTTCCCTGGTGGTGCAGTGGATAAGAGTTTGCCTGCCAATGTAGGGGACATGGGTTCAATCCCTGGTCTGGGACGATTCCACATGCCACTGAGCAACTAAGCCTGTGCACCACAGCTACTGAGTCTGCGTGCTGCAACTACTGACACCCGAGGGCCCCAGAGCCAGTGCGCCGCAATGAAGAGTAGCCCCCACTCACCGCAACTCAACGAGAGAAAGCCCACCTGTAGCAATGAAGACCCAGCATAATCAAAAATAAATAAATAAATAATTTTTTAAAAAGAACACATTCCTGAGTGTTTTGTATCCTGCCCTGACTTCTGCTTGTACACGCATGTGGGTATGCGTATCTGTGTGAGTGCATGTGTCCCTTCTAATTTTAATAATTAAATAAATTTAATTTTAATTTGCATACAGTGTTACATTCTCCTCCCAAATTTAATTCATATGTTTCAGTTCTAACCCCTAGTACCTCAAAATGTGACCTTACTTAGAAATAGGGTCAGTGCAGATGTAATTAATTAAGATGGGGTCATACTTAATTAAGGGTGGCCCCTTCATCCAATGACACTGGTGTTTTCATAAAAAGAATGCCAGGTATAGAGGAAGATACACGCATGAGGGGAAGACCATGGAAAGAGGCCCAGGGCTGTCTACCATCTAAGAAAAGAGGCCTAGAGCAGATCCTTCCTTCATAGCCCTCAATAGGAACCAGTCCAGCCAAGACCTTGATTTCAAATTTTAGCCTCCAGAACTGGGAAATACATTTCTATTGTAAGTCACCCGGTTTGGGGTCCTGGGTGTTATGGCAGCCCTAGGAAACAAATTCATATGTCAATGTTTGGCCCCTTAACTCTTTTCCCTTAAGAAATAGAGCTCAGACTTCCCTGGTGGCACAGTGGACAAGAATTCACCCGCCAATGCAGGGGACATGGGTTTGATCCCTGGTCTGAGAAGATTCCATATGCCAGCTAAAGCCAGCTAAAGCCCATGCAGCTAAACCACAGCAGCTAAAGCCCATGTGCCCCAACTACTAAGCCTGCACTCTAGAATGCACAAGCCACAACTACTGAACCTGTGTGCCACAACTACAAAAGCATCTAGAGCATGTGCTCGGAAACAAGAGAAGCCACCACAATGAGAAGCATGAGCACTGCAACGAAGGGTTTCCCTTGCTCACCACAGCTAGAGGATGCCTGTGTGCTGCAAGGAAGACCCAGCACAACCAAATATAAATAAATAAATGATTTTAAAAAACGAAATAGAGCTCAGCTAATCACAATAGCTAAGATGCAGAAACAACCTAAATGTCCATCAACAGATGAATGAATAAAGAAGATGTGGCACATATATACAATGAAATATTACTCAGAGATTTAAAAAGCATGAAATAATGCCATTTGCAGCTCCATGGATGGACCTAGAGATTATCATACTAAGTGAAGTAAGCCAGAAAGAGAAAGACAAATATCATATGGTACCTCTTACATGTGGAATCTAAAATATGAGATGAACAAACTTGTCTACAAAATAGAAACAGACTCACAGACATAGAGAACAGAGTTATGGTTGCCAAGGGGTGGGGGGAGGGAAGGACTGGGAGTTTGAGGCTGGCAGATGCAAACTATTATCTATAGAATGAATAAACAACAAAGTCCTCCTATATAGCACAGGAAACAATATTCAGTATCCTATGATAAACCATAATGGGAAAAAAACATGAAAAAGAATTATGTGTGTGTGTGTGTGTGTATAGGCTTCCCAGGTGGCATTAGTGGTAAAGAAACTGCCTGCCAATCCAGGAGACATAGGAGACACAGGTTCTATCCCTGGATCGGGAAGATGCCCTAGAGAAGAGCATGGCAACCCACTCCAGTATTCTTGCCTGGAAAATCCTACAGACAGAGAAGTTTGGCAGGTAGCAGTCCAGAGGGTCACACAAGTTGGACACAACTGAAGCAACTTAGCATGCACATACACATGTATAACTGAATCATTTTGCTGTATACCAGAGACTAACACAACACTGTAAATCAATTATACTTCAATTAAAAATAAATTAAAAAAAAAGAAATAGAGCTCCTTTCATATTTGTACATAAAGATATACCTCATCAGTTTTAGTGAGTTTGAGATATTGCCTTAACTTAAATATTTCCCTATTGGTGGTTATTTAGGTATTATTCAATATTTGGTTGTTTCCAACAATGCCACAGTGTCCTATCTCTTTATACATATACCCATGCATGGATGCAAGTATATCTTAAGGGTAATTCTTAGAACACCTTGGCCAAAGGGTTAAAAATATTATCTATTAAAAATAAAAATAAGCTAGTGGCAAAAAAAAAATGTCTAGAATAGCCTGGGGATGAGAGAGAGAAATGAGTGGGGGACAGTAGCACTGATGCCATGAGTAATTGAGTGGGGTCCCACCATCTGAACCTAGAAGTCAATTTTGTTTGTAGCCTTTGCTCTAACCAGAGACAAGTTTCTGCCAACACACAGGATGCAGTGTATGTGTGTGTGCTCAGTCACTTCAGTCATGTCTGACTCTTTGCGACCCTATGGACTACAGTCCGCCAGGCTCCTCTGTCCAGGGGGTTCTCCAGGCAAGAATACTGGAGTGAGTTGCCATGCTCTCCTCCAAGGGATCTTCCCAACCCAGGGATCAAACCCGAGTCCCTTATGTCTCCTGCTTTGGCAAGTGGGTTCTTTACACTAGTGCAACCTTGGAAGCCCAATAGGATACAGAAGTTAAGTTAATTCACAAGTATATCTGTGTCTTCAAATGCACTGATGGATTGTGCATTATACAGAAGTACTGAGTTAGTCTCTCCAAGGAGTCTGGCGCCTGGTTAAAAACCTATATGTGCTTTTTCAGGTCTGACTATAAGCTGTACCTGGCATGCCACACAGTTAGGAGGGAAAGCTGCCCTCCCCACAAGAGACTTGGTGCAAAGCCAGTGCATCACAGTCTCTGAAGGGAGGTGCAGCCAAGGGCTCAGGCCCATCCTGGCAGGTTACACTCTTCACATACGGGCATTCCTGACCCATGTGCCTTCATTCTTAAGTCTCTCCCTCTCTCTTTTTAATTGAAGTATAGTTTATTAACTGAGGTCTTGAGGTCTTCTTCAGGAGCCTCTACTGAGGCCTGCTTATTGCGAAAGTGGAGTTGAGGGAGATTTTCTTTTCTTTTTTTTTTTTTAGTATTTTCTTGGCTGCACCACATAGCATGTAGGATCTTAGCTTCTGGACTGGGGATGGAACCCATACCCCATGCATTGGAAGCATGGAGTCTTAACCACTGGACCACCAGGGAAGTCCCTGGGGGATTTTAAGACATGTTTCCTCATTCTGACTCTGTATCCAGGACTTTTCCACTCCTGACTCTTCCCCCACCTCTGATCCCCTCACTCACATGCCTCAGGGTCCATAAAACTCCAAAGCCTTCAGTTTTGGGTCCCTCAGCAGTGAGCCAACCCTCACATCTGTGCTAATCTACTTGACCCTCCATCTGTGTGCCTTCCCATGGGGGGAAAATGGACTGGGGGAATTGGCGCCCACTCCAGTCTCAGCCTCATGCTTTACTTTATAGGAAGCAATTAAAGGCTTGCTGCTTTCATTGGCTACTCTGACACCTAGAAGCCTAGCTCTCCCAATTAGGCAAGCCCCGACCTCCTCGTTGATAAGACTTTCAATGCTCAGTAGTCTCACCATTGATGAGGAAAGAGCTACTCAGGAGGTAAACATTTTAACCAATCTAAATATCACCTGGTCTGCATATCGCCCATTTCCATAAGACTAGGAAATTATTTGTGATAATCTGACAACAAATCTCTTTGCCCATCTGGACTCTCTATGAGAAACTCTCTGCATCACTTAAAGTGCAAGGGGGCAAGAAGAGGAACTTAAATTTACTAAGTGTCTACTCTCTATGCCATTTCCTTTACATAGATCATCCTGTTTAATCCTCATAACAGCCCCTCACAGTGGATGTCATGTTCCTATTTTACAATTGAGAAAACAGAGTTACTCCCCCAAACTCAAAAACCTGGCAAGCAGTGGCACCAAGACACTAGCTAGCACCCATCTGTGGTGCTCTGTCCACAGTCAGGAAGGCAAGGGCACCATGGGTAGCTGGGCAATCCACCCTGGTCCGGCTCTTGAGGAAGATGCCCAAGAGCACCCCAGTAGTGGGCTGCGTGTACCTTCGGGTCGTCTTTCACCCCCAGGAAGAGGTCATCCTTCAGCCCCTTCTTGCAGTGCTCACACGTGCAGTCAAAGTAGTACTGTCTCTTCAGCTGCTTCTTGCGTTCCTCACTGATGTTAAGGAAGTCGATATAGGACACCGTCAGCTCCTCTCCTTCTGAGATTTTGCCCAGGGCTCGGAGCTCAATTCTAGACCAAGATAAAGCAGAAGAGTCAATCAAATTCAGGGTGGGATACATGCTCTTCCAGATTTCAAGGAGTTGAACCTCAAAGACAACTTCCACTAACACTCTGAGAAAACATTCCTCCAAAAGGGGGAATTGTGACACAAAGGACAGTTTTCTGAAGAGGTCTGCTCTACTTGTCATAGCAATCAAATCGGCTCCATTCAGTCTGTTGCTCTGGAATCAGCTCAAATGGACTCCCAGTAGAGAGCTGGGCTTGGTCATAAAAGCATATGAAGCTTCCATGTCTGCAATTATCACTGTGCGTTTAGCCACTGATTGTAACAAAGGAAGGGGGAAATAATAAGGTACAAACTTCAAACAAGAGAAGACTTAATAGTCATGTCTGGTTAATCAGGGACTGCTTCTCTCAGAAACACACATTTTCAGTTACCCACAATCTTAGCCCATTTTTGTGTCTAATTATAAGCCCTGGCTTATCTAAACTTTTGGCCCAATGGTTCAAGCCAACATTAAATGGGGAGAGTTATGCTTGGAAATCTCTGAAGGCAACTAAAGGCTGGCTTTTTAGTAGCCCATTGCATTTTTCACTTTTTTGTTTACTGGGGCACATGGATTTGGGGTTGAAGTTGGGTTAGAGAGAGCAGATGACATTTCAACTACCTTCCAGCCTAGACCTGAGCCTCCAGTTACCTACAACACTACACACCTCACCATGTAATAGAGACAGAATGTGCTGAAGACAAAAGGCCACTGCACAACAGACATCCAGCTAAGCCAAACCAGCAGAGACCAGCCCGTGGCCCTCTCAGCCATGCATCTTCTACCCACAAGTCCAGAAGCTATAGTAAAGGTAGCGAACCCAGCAAACTGTGCTTCTGTATCTAAGCTGTGCTCCTGTATCTCCCCAAGATCCTGGTACCTTCCTTCCCAGAGGGAACCCATCACCTAGAAAGTAAGTGGCAGGATGCAAAGGGCTAGGAAAGCATCTGCAGAGAGGTCCACAGTCATTCCCTTCACCTCCCAGAGAGGCTGAGTCAGATGCCATGTGAAAGGCAGGAGATGGTCTCAGTCAGAGGCAACCCCTTCCACATGTTCTGAGATGTCAGCCCAGCAAGGAACAGCGGAATGGCAGTGACACGTGTGTCCAGGTATCTGAGGTGACTGCTTCTCTCAAAGTGGGGTACACTGCCGTGCCCAATAAATGTGATCATATATATATATATACTTATACACACACACACACACACACCCCTTACATGGAGACTGGCAAAATTGTCATCTTTAGTCCCTTGTTTCCTTTCATCTCCACTCTAATTTTTGACTGTTACTGAAGGAGTGAAAAGCAAAAGGAGAGAAGGGCAAGATGACCTACTTGCAGCTCTGCTTAGAATCCTAATATGTCCCAGCTACAGGGCATTGACCTCCTCATTTCACAGATGAGGATGCTGATACCCAGAGAGGTGAAGTAACTTCCCTGAAGGTCCCACAGCACTTTGGCAATGGGGCCAAGATTTTGAACTCAAGAGCTTTATCATATCATCCTGGCCACTAATTCATAGTTGACCCAGAAGCCGTAAAGAGAATACATAAATAAATACTTACCAAAAACATCACATTTACAGATACCATTTTTAGAACTAGTCTGAGTGAGAAATTGGAGGTTATGAACAAACACACAGTCCTTTAGTAGGTCAGTAATACCAACAGTCCTCATTTCATGGTAAATAGGGTTTAGAGGAATCGTGTGTGGTTTTCTAAGATGATGTGGACTGGAAGGGACTGTCATACTTTGGGGTTGGAGGAGAGAAAGAAATGAGGAGCAAAACAGAAGGAAGGAAGGGAGCAAAAGAAAGCACAGCACAGCGGGTAGTGGTGGGTGAAGAACAAGATGATTAACATAAATGCATTAAACATACAGCATTCAGCAAAGACGAGATTTGGGGGAGCGGACAGGCATTACAGACAGACAGCAACCAAGGGGGTCTCAGGAAGGGGCAGTCCCAGCAAAAATCAGGCAAGTGAGGGAGATGGGTCAGAGGAACAGGGAGGTTTTCAAAGACTGACCCACCTCATCTGGGTGTGAAACATGGATTTCACTGCCTCATGACTGAAAAACAAAACAGACACCCAAATGGAAATCATTACCATTGGCTCATCCCGTACAGCTAGCAACAGTGCACAGCATTCCAGGTTATGCCATCAAAGCTTTGGCCAGCAAGACCACCTCTCTCCCAACCCCTTCTAGCTGAGCTTCCTTGCCAAGATGTAGCCTGGTATAATGGAAAATACATTTGATATGGAATGAGAAGTTCTGGGTTCAAAAGGACTCAGCCCTGGACAAATACCCTGGGCCTTGGTATTTTCATCTGTAAGCTGGCAATGAGACTGTCATAAGACAATGAATTCAAAAGTAGAGGGCTACCATATTTTTCAACGGCAGGGCAAAAAAAATCATGTGAACCATTCATGAAAGATGCTCCTGGTTGCCCAGTCAAGTTTGAACGCCAAATCATGGGCAAATTGGGCTTGGAGTAGCCCTTCAGAGCCTTAGGGTCTTCTGAGTGGTACACCAATAGGGCTTCAACTTCAAGTTACCAGCTGCATTGCCACCAAGAAGCAGAATCAAACAATCCTTGGGTGGTTTACTCTGGCTAATTTCTCTTTAAATTGAAAATTGAGGGCAAGTGGAGAAGGGGGTGACAGAGAATGAGATGGTTGGATGGCATCATCAACTCAATGGACATGAGTTTCACCAAATTCCGGGAGATAGCAAAGGACAGGGAAACCTGGTGTGCTGCAGTCCATGGTGTCACAAAGAGTTGGACACGACTAAGCGACTGAACATCAATTTCTTTTTTAATGAAATAAATGTTCCTGCAGGCATTCTTTTCCATAAATAAGGTAGAGTGCTAAAAAACCACATGGGAAGCTACATATTATTATCCCTCTAAACAAGCCTCTTGGGCATAAGGGTGGCCTCTTTTGATGTCTGTCTTGGGAAGAGTTTGAATGTGTCTGGAGACCAGTCACACAAGTAGTATGTAAAAATTGCTGGGATTAGAATTGGACTCCTAACACCACAACCAGTATTCTTTCCACTATGGCAGGCACCTAGACTGTTACTGCAAAGTCACCTTCTTTCACACAACAGCCAAGAAGCTCAGGTACCATGTGCCTGTTCAAAATTAGTGGTTGCATTGAAGCCAGAGCAGACACTGGTGATGATCTGAAGAAAGGGCCCCCAGGTTTCTGTGGTAGTGACAAGAAAGGCACTGGGTCATCACTACTTATGGGAGTGGTACCCAGAAAGACCAGCCCCACTGGTGAATTTGATCCTCTCTGCATACCGGGGTAACTCCAGACACCAGTCCCTCTGGGGAGGATTCCATGAGGTCCAGGCCAGGAACCCCAAGATGTTTAGGAAGGGAAACACAAATATACCGGGAAAAGATTGTCATCTGGGTCCAAAATAAACTTTCCTGTCTTGAGGGACTTTCTCAAGTGCTCAAAAGCCTAGGCTCAAAAGTCAGGCATGCCCTTGTTCCAGAATTAGGAAGGAAAAGAGAAATCAGAGTCCAGGCTCCACTAGAGCATAAGCTTGTTTCTTGGCTAAGAACCAGAAACCATTATCTTTGGGGGGAAACCTGTTATTGTTGATGGCTTATAGTCAACTTGCATCATCATAAGAGCTCGTCTCTAAGAGTAAAAGAAATATTTCTTAGGCCTTTCATCCCCAGTAGCTCAGACAGTAAAGAATCTGCCTACAATGCAGGAGACCCAGGTTCAATCCCTGGGTCAGGAAGACCCCCTGGAGAAGGGAATGGCTACCCACTCCAATATTCTTGCCTGAAGAATCCTATAGATAGAGGAGCCTGGTGAGCTACAGCCCATGAGGTTGCAAAGAGTCAGACACCAACTGAGTGACTAACACTTTTCTTCATATCCCCAAAGCTCCCCGTCTGAACCATGGACAAGCTGGGTTCATCATGTTTTCTGATGCTTCTCCATTTGCACCCCACCCCAAATTCTGTTCTCTATCCTTCGGTCCCCTGATCTGTGCCTTCCAGGGGGCGAGGCTGACCTCTGAAGTTTTCATCACCAGATGCCTTGGTCCTCTGGCTTCTGGTTTAGCCAATGGGAGGAGATAAGAAGGTGGGAGGAGAGAGAAATTGGGGTATTTAGTCTCTTGGCTCCCTGTCTGCCTGACCACAGTTCCAGCTGTGCCTAGTTTCCCTGTTGGGCTGGGGGACAAACGGCCCCCTCCCATGGCTACAGCTCTCATCAGCCACAGGAACAGCACTTCCTCCATCACCCCTCCAGGTCTAGAGGAGGTCATGATTTCATGTTGCTGCCTAGACACCTGGGCACCTCACCATTCTTTTGTCAGTTTCTTCAGCTCTACCTTCACTTCTATCAATTGACCTTTTATTAAATTCTCTTAGGGTAACCCTTGAGTGTGCCTTCTGATTTCTCCTGGTAACTTGACTAACACATGCTCCTGACAAGTGCCTTCTCTGCCGATGATGCTCTGCAATGACCCCTAGAAAGAAAATCTCAGGCTTCAAGTTCCGAAATTACATAGTAGTTAAAGGTTTATTTAACATATCTCAGCAACCTCAAGAAATATACAAAGACTCAGAAATCACTTTGCTACCTTCCTCATTACATTTGTCCTCTCTACACTTATTCTGGAATAAAATTTCAATTTTCTATCTAGATGAAATCCATGCTGCTTCAGGTCCAACAGTTTACTTTTGGTTTAAGTCAAGTGTAGAGATGATACCCTACTGTTTCCCATCCCCAGCACACCAACCCAAGTTCAAGACATACTCACTTGCCATTGTTAAATATGACAGTGCAGTTGGGCCAACAATCATGGTTCACCAGGGCCAGGTTGGGAAAGACGCCCACGCCCACAGCCTGCAGGCCTCGCTGGTCACTGAGTGTGAAACCATTGCAATTAATCTGCCCAGAAGAAAAGATGAGAGTCAGCTAACAGACCAGACACAGACTTGGTGCAGAACACTAAACAGCTGTTAAAAGTTTTTTTAAAATAGAAAACCTGTTCTCATTCTGGAAATGCTTAGAGAGTTTGGAAACAAAACAGTTAGTCTCCTGATCGCTATGTGATTCCAAATGACCCTCAAGATTAGTACCATGTGAGAATCTCAATTTGCACCATTACCTTGAAAGCCCAGGGTAGCTGTATTCTAAAAAAGTCCAAGATGGGAATTCTCTTGTGGCCCGGTGATTAAGACTCATTGCTTTCACTGCCATGAGCAGGGGTTCAGTCCCTGGTTGGGGACTTAGGATCTCACAAGCTACACAGCAGTGCCAAAAAAAGCCACAAACTTCCTCTTGTGTTGCAGAGATTGCATACAATAATAAAATAATATCTGGGACACTGGAATGGTTAATTTTATGTCAATTTGGCTGGGCTTTGGTGACCAGATATTTGGTTAAACATGATTCTGTATGTTTCTAAAAGGTGTTCTTTGGATGAGGTAAACATTTAAATTGGGAGGCTTAGAGTAAAGCAGGTTAGCCTGCACAGAGGAAGTGGGCCTCATATAATCAGTCAAAGACCTTCATAAAGCTAGACTGATTCCCCAAGTAAGAAGGAATTCTTTCAGCAAACTGCCTTTGTACTTGAAACACAATTCTTCTTTTTGGGTCTTCAGCCTGCTGGCCTACCAGCAGCCCCTACAATCACAAGAGACAGTTCATTAAATCTCTTTCTCACTTGCTCTCTCTCTTTCTACACACACACGCACACACACAAACACACACACACATATCCTTGTGGTTCTGCTTCTCTGGAAAACTCTATTACAGAAGCACTGGAACATGGGGAGGACTCAGAGGTGCTGAGTATGATCATACTATTTTATCACAAGAACTCCCTCCTTAGCCCACTCACCAGCAGCCCAGAAGGCACTCAGCCTGCCAGATGGGAGACAAGCCCCCAGAGCCCACAGCCTGAGTCTGCTGACCCACTGGGCTCCCATCCCCTCCTCCCTCATGGCTTCAGGAGGCCTGGATTTGCAGCTCAAGACAGGGCCTTCCAGAAAGCCCCTACTCTCCTCTCCCTGGGTCCCCAGGATCAGACCATTAGGTCTGGAAAAAGGAAGAATCTTATTTCCAAAGTGCCCAGTCAGCAAGAAGAAACAGTGATTGGATCTTCATTTTCTTTTCTTTCAAGATTTTGGTGGGGGGTGGGGGTGGGCCGTGTTTAGTCTTTATTGAATTTATTACAATATTGCTTCTGTTGTTCTGGTTTTTTGGCCATGAGACATGTGGGGGTCTTAGCTCCCTGACCACAGATGGAACCCGTGCTCCCTGCATTGAAAGACAAAGTCTCAAGCATGAAGTCCCCCTGGGTCTTCATTTTCAGTGTGGAGTAGAGAAGGTATAGGAAGTGCAGATGAACAAGAAAGTCAATCATCATCCAAATATGTGGTGGGAGATAAACAGTAGCTTTCATGTGGGATGTTGATTTCAGACCCCACAGGAATGACTTCATAGTAAAGCAAGACCAGAAAGAAAACTGAGTGAGAGCTCCTCATCTAAGGCTTCCTTCGTGATCCAGAGCTTTTCTTGGCCTCCCCAGTCCACCCTTTCTCTTTTGATGCAGATCATTTTTAAAGTGTTTATTGAATTTGCTACAACACTGCCTCTGTTTTGTTTTGTTTTTGTCATGTGTGATCTTAGCTCCACAACCAGGGATTGAACCTGCACCCTCTGCGTCAGAAGGGGAAGTATTGACTACTGGACCATGAAGGAAATCCCTCCCCTTCCTCTCTGACCTGGCAGCCCACCTCTACCCCCACCTCACCCCACCCCCACCTTGGGCGAACTCTTACGCACCACCCCGAAGATGTGGGAGATGTACTGCATGCTGAACTGCTGGTTCTGCGGCGGCCAGTACTGCAGGAACGTGTCCACGTCCAGCCGCAGCTCCTTCTGCTCCTCTTCCCCGAAGTGCTCCACGTGGTTCTGCAGGTCGTCCACGGAGACCAGGCAGCCCTCAGTGAGCCCGCTGCCCTCTCTCTCCACCCGCCACATGATGCGTGCCGCCAGCCTGTGCGGAAGGGCAGAGTGAGTGAGGCCTTGCTGCCATGATTCTTTCTACAACCACTTGTGGAGTGCCTCCTGCTGCCTGTTGTGGTGTCGGGCTCAAGATAACAGTTCTGAATTAGATGGATGGAATGTCTTGTGTCATGAAGCGTCTTAGAGTGGTGGTTGGTAGTTTAGTCACGAAGTCCTGTCTGACTCTTGCGATCCCGTGGACTGTAGCCCGCCAGACTCCTCTTGTCTATGGGATTTCCCAGGCAAGAATACTGGCGTGGGTTGCCATTTCCTTCTCCAGGGGATCTTCCCCACCCAGGGATCAAACTCACGTCTCCTGCATTGCAGGTAGATTCTTTACTAACTGAACTACTAGGGAAGCCCTCTTAGAGTCCGGGAAACCTAAGTGGAAAAGATAATCTAAACTAGTGCTAAGTACTCTGCCCAAAATCAAACAGGGTGACCTGAAGGGGGGCGGGAGGGGAAGCCAAGGTGCTCAGGAGAGGCTGGAGGAGGCACACGGGGCTGCCAGTGGCTTGAACAGGAGCCAGCCCTGTGCAGATGGGGAAAGCAGCGAGTACAATGGCCCTAGAGAGGGAGAGAGCTTGGCATGATTAGAAGCAGCCAAGTGGGGACTTCGCCAGTGATCCGGTGGTTAAGACTCTGAACTTCCACAACAGGGGACATGGGTTCAGTCCTTGCTTGGGGGGCTAAGGTCCCACATGCTGCAGGGTCCAGTGAAAAGAAGCAGGGGGTGGGGGTGGGGGAGAGAAACAGCAAGGTGCTGGAGCTAGGGTGGGTCTGGGAAACTGAGAGGGGTCAGGGGACACAGTGAGGTCCAGTCACCTGTGTCTCTCCTGACCCTATAGCTAACTGAGATGAGCACTGGAGAAGTCTGATGACTCCACTTCTTACTGTGTGACTCTGGGAAAGTTGCTTGCCCTCTCTGAACCTCTCCAATGACAATTAAATGAGGGTAATACACATTCCCTGCCATGCTAACCTCCAGAGTGCTGGTTCTCATACTGCTGTCCCTTTACAGAAGGCAGGAAGAGACCAAAGAAAGAGGCCCACCACTCCAGATTGGCGGTGGCATTCTGAACCTGCAGGGCACTCACTTAGAAAGCTTGTCTTGGGTGACCATTGATAAATAGATCTTTCATGATATACATGTATAACAAATCAACACAATGTACAATACATTTTAAATATCAATATCTTATGACTTAATCAATTACACCTCAATAAGAGGGAAATTTATAAATAAATAAAATTGCACATGAAATTACAAAAAGAAGGAATAGGGGGAAAGAAGAAGTAAGATTTCAACAGATGGAACTAAGGGGGACAGGGGATGGGGAGGCTCACTAAGCAATTTCATTTTGCAGTTTCCCATAAGTTACCAGGATATGATGATTCCAGTCTGGGCTTTAACTTCACAGTTAAAATGCTTAGTTCAAATGCTCCAGCATCACCATCCCCATCTCCTCCACTCTCCATTGCCGGCTGCCTGCAATAAGCACCTACCTGCAATCCAGCATCAGGTCCTACCCTGGCGGAACCTCCTGGACTTGGTAGCTCTGGAATTAAGATATTGGCACAGAGATATTTGCAAATGCAAATGCCTTTCAGGTGTAGTGAGTCCAGAGGGCTAGTGTACAACCATGGGGATGAGTGGAGCTGTGATAATTTGAAAAGTTCTATTCTTTTAAAAGAAGTTAGCTGCTATTGAGCTCACATTTTGCCAAATCTTCACATTTTTTTTAAGAGAAGCCAGAAATCTTAATCTTTTTAATGTGCAACTTCCTAATTTTTTGACATGGCAGGTAAGTTTTTAATTAATTTTTATTAGAGTATACTTGATTTACAGCATTCTGTTAGTTTCAGTTGCTAACCATAAGTTTGTTTTCTACATCTGTGACTCAGTTTCTCTTTGGTAAATATGTTCATTTGGACCTTTTTTTTTTTTAGATTCCCCATATAAGACATATTATATGATATTCGGATCAATTTTTTTAAATTAAACATTGAGGAGCCACACAGAACAAATCTGCAGCCAGCTCCGCCCAGTGGAGATTCCCTCATAAATGGGTTTCCCAGACCAAGTGTAGCGGGGCTTCCCTGATGGCTCAGAAGGTGAAGAATCCACTTGCAATGCGGGAGACCTGGGATCGATCCCTGGGTTGGGAAGAGCCCCTGGAGGAGGGCACAGCAACCCAGCCAGTATCCTCACCTGGAGAATCCCTGTGGACAGAGAAGCCTGGCGGGCTATAGACCATGGAGTCGCAAAGAGCTGGACACAATTGAGTGACTAAGCACAGCCCAGACCAAGGGAGGGCACAGAAGAAGCAATCATAGTCTCCTTGGGGCTCTCTCCTGGTTTGCTCTTAGCCCAGCTTGCTTAGACCAAGGTGTGGTTTCCCCGCTGCCACCCCACTCTTCACCTGACGTTTGGCAATCCAAAGCCCCACCCCAGGGCCCAGCTCTGACCTGATGTTCTCGTTGGGCACCTTGCCGTATCTCTTGATGGCCGAACATTCGTTCTTGTGGTTCAGCCAAGCATCCTTCTGGCAGGTGCGGTCACAGTAGTGGGCAAACTTGCACTGCCCGCATCGGTGGAGCTTCTCCTGCCTCTTGAAGCAGGTGTGGCACACAACATTCACAAGGCTGGAAATAGAGGGAGAAAACTGTGACCATGGGGCACCATACCGGCTGTTGGGAGACACGTTTGGGTATGGGCTCAGTGGGCTGTCCTTGTCTTTCTCAGCTTCAGAGTCCCACTTTTCAAAATGAGGGGCTTGGGTTTCCAAAGGTCCCTTCCAGCTGTAACCATTCTTTTTTATAGTTTTATTTATTTATTTTTGGCTCTTCTGGGTCTTCCTTGCTGCAAGGGTTTTCTCTAGTTGCAGCAAGCAGGGGTTACTCCTTAGTTGTAGTCCCAGGGCTTCTCATTGTGGTGGCTTCTCTTGTTGCAGAGTACAGGCTCTAGGGCTCCAGTAGTCGTGGGTCTCCGACTCTAGAGCACAGACTCAGTAGTTGTGGTGCTCGGGATTTGTTGCTCCACAGCCTGAGGGATCTTCCCAGATCAGGGATTGAACCCATGTCTCCTGCATTGGCAGGTGGATTCTTCACCACTGAGCCACCAAGGAATCCTTGGAACTATTCTTTTGGCAGATATTTTTCAGTGAAACTAATGAAGGGGACACTGTTGAACTCTGCATATAAACCCTTCAGTTTAATTCAGTAAGTATAGATTTATGACCTGTATGCATTAAGCACTGGGAATATCATAAGTTGCTGAAGGAACAATTGAACCTGGAGTCACCAGGCAACATGAGCAGCACTTTAACAGGAGGGACACAGAGTGTTCCTGGATCACAACATAGAAGTTCCCCTTTAGGACCCAGGGAAGTCTTCTAAGCCAAGGGAGCGGGTGGAAATTCCTCATAGTCCTCTTGCTGAAAGTCACAGGTCATTAGCACCATGGCGTGAGAGAGAGCATTCTGTGTCATGTGTCCTCGTTGTTGAAATAGACTGTCCGTTGCCCCAAAGAATAAAAAAGTCATAATTATCTACAGTATAATGGGACATGACCTGTTTTACCCAAAATGACATCTACACATTTATGTCATAGTTCTGTGTGTTTGGCAAGAGTAAGAATGACAGAGTTACTGATGTCACCAGTGTTATGTGATGTGTTCTCTTGGCTCAGAGAGAAATTGGAAGCAATGGGTGGCCAACTCCACTCTGCCCCATCTGCTGTGAGGTACAATGCCAGTAATTAATCATAAAGTGCTCAAGGGTTTGAAACGTTAGTGCTTACTTACAGGTTAGGTTATTCCCATTGTAATGTCTTCCTCACTCCCTTATATTCCCTGAAGTTTTCCCAACGAGAGAGGAAGAGTAGAATTATTTGCAATTGCACAGAATTGAAGCCCATTAATTACTATGCCACTACTACTACTTGGACCAGGAGAAGGCTAGGGACAGAGCCCCAAGATACTATGGTATAGACCTCACCCCATACTGGGTGATGGAGAGACCTTTGCAACAATGTATATAATCCTTTATCAGGCCTTGACTCAATTCAACCACCAGTTCACAATATCTTGCCTTCATTTTGTCTCATCAGAATCTTTACAATCACTTTGTTATAATAAATGTTTAATTACAATTCATGAGGAGAAAACATAATCAATCTCGTAGTGAGCTCATGGTGGGTCCCAAATGTTAACCACCAAATCATTGTCTCCAGGCCCCCAATCTGTTTTAAATTCCATTCTACAATTTTTAAATTTTGGGGAAAAAAAGCTACAAGGATATACTGTACAACACAGGGAATATAGCCAATATTTTGTCATAGCTATAAATGGAGTATAACCTTTAAAATTTGTGAATCACTACATTGTACACTTGTGACATATAATACCACAGATCAACTGTACTTTAATTAAATAAATAAAGTTCTAAGACCACTTTCTGACTTATTTATTTTATTGAAATATAGTTGATTTACAATGTTTCAGGTATACAGTAATGTGATTCAGTTATACATATATATACATATACATATATATATATATATATCCTTTTTCAGATTCTTTTCCATTATGGGTTATTACAACATATTGAATATAGTCCCCTGTGCTATATAGTAGGTCCTTGTTGTTTATCTATTTTATATATAGCAGTGTGTATCTGTTAATCCCACATTCCCAGCTTATCCCTGTCCCACTTAAAACCACGTCTTAGATTCCAGGAGAAAGACTGCTTCTGCCAGCCAGCTTAGCTGATGACCTTCACCAAGCCACGTTTCTCCTCCTTAGTCTCATTTTTTCAGTCCCCCCAAGAGTCCCGTTTACACAGTGCTTTGCAATTTTCAGAGATATTTTTAAGCAATTCTCTTTTGTTAAACCTTCGCAGCAACCCTTTAGTGTATAGGTCATCACTGTCTTCCCAGGGACATTATTCTCATAGGGGTCCCTGGTGCCTGACACTGTTCCCAGCACAGAAGGCAGAGGAAGCTCCCAAACCTACCTGCTTTGAGTACAGCCCTGAGTGTGCCCCGCCCCAGCCGTCGGGTCCCTGCTCGCTCTTTCCTCCGCAGCCCTGGGTTGTATCATCTGTCAGAGTCAAGAGGGATGGAAAGGCAGCTGCTGCTCAGCTCCTTGTATGGAAATAACCGGTTCCTGGACAGATAAATGCAAATAGAAGGCGCCTGCAAGGTGGATGAGCCCTCTAAAAACACAGTCAGAGAGCACTGGACTAACTGTTCTGGCTTCCTGGGCTACCTAAAAACTTGTAGCCTGAGAGGACGTCTCCCCTCAAAAATTGTGGGGGAGAGCATCTGTCTTAAAGAACATCACATCTGGGAGGGGCTTTCAGGTTGGAGGGGTGGACACATATATACCTATGGCCAATTCATGTTGATGTATGGCAAAAACCATCACAATATTGTAAAATAATTATCCTCCAATTAAAATAATTAATTTTTAAAAAGAACATCGCATCCCTCAAGTACCCAGAGACCTGTACAATATTTTGAACTCCTTCTTTCTTCCTTGTTCCTGCCCATCTTTCTTCTTTAACAAATTTTTATTGGGCATCATTTACAACAGTGTGGATGGACCTGGAGGGCATTATGCTTAGTGAAATAAGTCAGAAAGAGAAAGATAAGTAATGTTTGTTATCATGTATATGTGAAATCTAAAAAATAAAATCAACAGATGAATATAACAAAAACAGAAATAGACTCACAGATGTAGAGAACAAACTACTGGTTACTAATGGGGAGAGGAAAGGTGGAAGGGTCGTGATAGAGCTTTGGGATTAAGAGACACAAACTACTGGGATTTCCCTCGCAGTCAAGTGGTTAAGACTCTGCGCTTCCAAGGCTGGGGGATGCAGCTTCAATCCCTGCTTGGGGAACTAAGATCCCACATGCTGTAATGCAGCCAAAAGATAAAAAAATAAATAAAATTTTTAAAAGGAAGGTATTGTTGAAAAAAAAAGGTCTCATTGTAGTTGATAATGATTCCATGATCATAGCACCTCCTTCTGTAAAGACATATTTTTTTAAAAAAGAAATACAAACTACTATGTATAAAATAAATAAGCTGTAAGGAAATAAGCTATAAGAATACAACACAGGGAAATATAGCAAGTGTTTCATAATAACTTTAGATGGAGTGTAATCTATAAAAATACTGAATCAGTGTGTCGTACTCTTGAAACTAATATGATATCGTAAATTAACTGTACTTCAATTTTTGCATTTTTTGTTTGTTTTTATTTCTATTTTTTACTATATTTCCATTTTTAAAAGTAAATTAAATGTTCTAAGTATATTAAAAAGCATTTAATTGAGCATCTATTATGTGCCTTGACTTGAGCTAGCTGACAGAGATAAAGAAGATACAGACTTTGCCTTCAAGCAGTCCCCAGTTTGGGCTGGGGCATAAACACATATAAGGAAGGTGAGGCATGCCCCCCAGGAATCCTGCTGCAGGATTCAAGGTCAATGAAGGAGGAATCTGGGAAGGCCATCACCAAGGAGGCAGGGAGGCATGGTTCTGACCGTCTGAAGATGAGCTGAGTTATACATAGAACATAGAAGGTCAAGTGCTTCTGCCATGGAGAGGCACTGGCATGAGTCAAGGGCTTCCATGGGGGAAGCAGTTAGGGCAGGTGTGTCTAGGAGACAGGAGGAACTGTTTGACAAGATCACATTATTGAGAAATAATGTTGACTGGACTGTGGGGGACCTAGAATGCATCTTTCAGTGGTAAGACCTTATTCTGCAGGCGCGGGGAGGGGGGGTTGCGGGGGGAGGGGAGGGGAGAGAATGGGTCCAGTGGAGGCTTCTGCAGAGAGGAGAATCACGGCCAGAGTTGGGACACTCAGTTTCTCTTTGCTACGGCATCTACCTAATGTCATTTTTTAAATTATTTATTTGTTTGTTTTTGGCTTTGCTGGGTCTTTGTTGCTGCTCGGGCTTTTCTCTAGTTGTGATGGGGGACACTCTCTAGTTGCAGTGTGTAGCCTTCTCATTGCAGTGTCTTCTCTTGTTGCAGTGCATGGGCTCTAGGCGGGTGGGCTCCAGTAGTGCTGTACATGGGCTCTGGACCTCAGTAGTTGTGGCATTTGGGCTTTGTTGCTCCACAGCATGTGGGATCTTCCCGGATCAGGGATCAAACCCTGTATCTCCTGCATTGGCAGGTGGATTCTTCACCACTGAGCCACCAGGGAAGCCCCCAGTCTTGTTTTTAAATGGCCCGTGTCAATCCTTAAGGGATTCACGTTTGCACAGTTATTTACCTTAGCGAAGTTAGGTGGTGCTACATCCCTAGAACAGACCTAGAGATTTTTAACATTTCTTTGATTAAAATAGCAACTTTCAAGATTTTCTCTGCCATAGCTCCTAAGACAAGGCTCACACACCTCACTCAGACCTGGATGCACCTCCCACACTCTACTAAACCCCTCTTCCCAGACTCAGAACACATCTTCAGATGCAAATGAGAGAAGGTGACATTGTTTGGGGGACAACTTGGCATTTGACCTAATCTCTGCTTAAAAGACTATTATCCCCAAACTTCTGCATTTAAGAATTAGTTAATAAAGTTTAGCAACTCAACTCACTATGGGTCATGTGACATATCAACACG